TCAGTGAGCTTTCGGGGAAAGCCTTATTTTTGAAAAAAGTTGTCTCAAAAACTATCGAGGGGGATGTGCTTAAGCCCGTAAGGAGTCACCTAGGGAGGTAACCCAATTTCTGTGATTAGGGACCCATAAAGGAAGTTCAATGAGTAGAAACAATCCATATTACGTGACTCATTAGCACCGTTATTGAGAAAATATCCAAAGAAGAGATATTTTCATGCTCATCCCTATGGCAAAGGTGCATATGTAGTGTGACGGCAAATAAAGATTTTATTTTGAATGAGACTGAGACAAGAACACTTCTGCAGGGTATTGTGCACATGTACCCTTGGAGGGCTTACCTAAGTGAGAGTAGTCGTGAGGCTGCGACTGTGAGAAGTGGGTTATTCTCTAAAAACTCTCATGAGAATCAAGTTCAAGTGCACTAACCCGCGAATTTTGACCAATATCACTACTATGTGTATGATAGTTGAACTCTGGCTCAAAGGGTCTAGTTCAAGCCTTTGATCATTATGATCATTCAGAGGAAGGCTGTTAACACTAAGTGAAATTCAAGTTCAAAAGACACCTACACTCATTACACAGTATTATTGTTGCCCTTATTTTTCTATATCTATATATATTTGAAAATTTTTCAAGTTTTAAAAACTTGTGGGGGGATTGTTAAATTATAATGAAGTTTTTAAAACTTTTTAATCCAATTTTTAGTTACTATACATCAATTGAATTGTAGATTTATTTTGCTATTGATTTCATGTGTTAAAATAGGTTTTAATGAGTTAGCAGTTACAAAGTATGATGGTTATATAAGCATGCTTGTAATTGTTACTTTGGACAGGTTTTTTTGCCTTCTACTTCTAACATCTTTCTTGTCAACCTTTGTCTGTCTAATTTTCTTTCTTATTTCTTTTGCTAACACTTTTCATAGCCATCAAAACTTCCTGTCATTTGTGTGCACATATAATTATATTCCTACAAGTTTTTTTTGTGTTTTGGGCAACATACAATTCGAGTCAGATTCCCTTTTCTTTCCAGAAGGCATGATCATTGAGGAGGTGCTGCTGTGAGCGTCTGAGTTAGATCTTGGAGTCGCTGATGTCCGTCAGTACCCTCACGCGGAGAGGCTCAGCTGCTTTAGAACAGTGTTCACGAGACTCTTGGACTTGCAGACCAGCTCTTTTTAATTTATAGTATCTATTGTATTCTATTCTAAATTGATTATTATTTTATATTTTATTCGCATATTCTTGTTAGTTTGTGATATGAATATTATTTTGTTAAGTAAAATTATGTATAATTATGCTAATTTCTCCAACAATATTTTCCAATAATATAAGAAAGGAACAATATTCAAATCCGCAACCATTAAATCTAATTTTTAAGTCTATCTAACATTACTTTAAGTCTAATGACAGGATAGCAGCCATTAAGAGTAAGTTTGAATAACATTAAGCCGTTTTAATAGGAGGGTTGTCATCACTGGACCGGAGAAAAGCCCATGTTTTCCAAAGAAAGCCCATAACAATGACGCCAAAGGAGTGACGCACAGAACTTCTGAGCCTGTTTGGATGCTTATTTTTGGTAGGAATTGGATTGGATTTATGAAACCTCTCCAAAACTAGAGCCAAGGATTTGTATATGGAATTCAAAAAAAAATTATATTCAATCCAATATTTGATAAGTAATATAAATATACTAGTTATTATTTGTGCAAAGGCACAGAGTAATAAAAAATAATAAATAATAAACATATTTATATTCATATCCAAAATTAAATCACAAATATAGAGAAGAGATAAAAGAATTTAAGAATCGAATTGTAGTGGGGGTAAGAGGTGGTGGGCGACAATGGTGATGATAGGAGACGGTAATGATTGTGGTGGGTGGCAATGACTGTGGTGATGGTGGCGAGGGCGACGGCGATGGTGGTGGTGGTGGTGGTAGAAGTAGTCGTGGGGCGGTTTAAAACACTATTTTTTTTAAGTATTTATGAGAAATAATTTTTAAAAGTAATTTTAAAAAGTCACTCCAAACACACCTTTATGAACCTATTTTTTCTATTAAATTTAGACTGTTAATATTAACCATTAGATTAACTTTAAAGTAAAATTTAAAGCGATCTCAACCGTGAATAACAAAAATATTTTGTTTATCTTTTCAGATTTAAATTGTAAACTACTTTATTATATAGATGTGAGGTTTATAAATTTATATGGAATTATATTCCTCAATTTATTAAAATATCCATTGTTATGAGAATAGAATAATAAATTTTTAGGTAAAGTAATTTTTTTATCTTCAAATGTAATCTTTCACTTTTGAAAGCCACTCCTATAGGTTTCATCAAACCCCAATTTTAATCGACTACTCACTATTGTCTGGGTGCGTTTCGAAATTCATTTACCCTATGAATTCTGAGCCTCAAATCTTCAATCAAACACGGGTTTCAAAGGTGTATTGGATTATTTTCACAAAATTCACCCCTTAAATCCTATCCAAACCCACATACCAAACATCCCCAATTATGTTTTTGTTTTTGTTTTGGGGAGGAGAAATTTTATTTTACTCTGTTGAAGTCGCACATCGTCCAATTATTTCTAAAAGTAGTCACATAGTTCAAAATTAACGGGATATTTGAGTCATGCACATGTACCTGAGGCTTGATCCTGGATTTTTTATTTTCCAAAGGATAGGAAAAATCCTTGCAATTGTAAAAAAAACACAAATACCCCTATTTTCTTATTCTTATTCACTGGCAAAACCAATATGTATCCTCGTAGCCTCCTCTTTCCAACAACTAATAACATAAATTGGATGAGTGGTAAAATGTGAAAGAGCGTAATCACAAGAAATGAAGTGAATTTGACCCTTTTTTCTTTTGTCCGCCGCTTACAAAAAAAAAAAATTTATTCCCCTCCCTGTCTTAAAAAAATCTAAACAAACAATTTCTAGGGACCAAGAAACAATACAAGAAGGAAATTCCCAACCAAACTTAAAACAAATATAAGTAGAAACTTAGGAGACCGAGAGAGAGAGAGAGAGAATCTTGACTACAAATTGGCATCGGCCAAAACTACAAGATGCCAAATAGTAGTGCGAGCCCCCTTAAAAGTAGTTAGATGGCAACAAAAAGGAGTGGTAGTCTATCCTGGAAACCAAATGAAGACATTTTCTTGATAAAAGAATAGGGGCCGGCACCATGCTACTTATTGAAAACTATTTATTTATTATATAAAAAAACTAGTTATTGTCTGTGTTTGAAGACACAAAGTAATAAAAAAAATAGTCAACAATAAATATATTTGTATTCACATCTAAAATCAAATCACAAATATAAATGAGAGAGAAAGGAATTTAAGTACCAATTATAATGAGAGTGAACGATGGTGTTGATGGTGGGTAGTAGTGGCGATGGTGGGGTGGCGATAGTGGCAATGTCAGTGATGGTTGTAGTGGTGATGATCGTAAGGGGGTGGTGGTGAGACAATTGGGGCAGTGGTGGTAAGGGTGATGGGGGTAGATGTGACGGTTGTGGTGGTGATGGTGGTAAAGGGGGTAGTGGAGGTGGTGGTGGTCGAGCAGTGGCGACAGTAGTAATGACAACAGTGATAATAGTGGTGACAGTGATGGTGGTAGGGTGGCGACGACAGTGATAGGACAGTGGCAATGATGGTGGGGTGGAGGTGATGATGGTAGGACAGTTGCAGTAGTGGTGGGTGGAGGTGACAGTGGTAATGGTGGGTGTAATGGGGATGGTGACATTGGTGCGGTGGCAACAGTGGAGGTGGTAATGGTGTTGATGATGGGAAATAGTTTGGTGGTGGGGTGAGGTGGGGTGGCGGTGGCGGTGGTGGTGGCAATGGTAATGCTGGTGGGTGGTAGTGGTGGTAGTGATGATAGTGGGGTGATAGGGTGATGGTGGTAGTGGTGATGGTGGAGTGGTTCCAAACACTACATTTTTTTTTAAAAGTATTTATGAGAAATTATAAGTATTAAAAGCACTTTTAAAAAATCACCTCAAATACACCCTTAGGGGTTTATTTTTCCTATTAAATTTAGAGTGTTAATATTAACTGTTTGATTAATTTTAAAATAAATTTGAAAGAGATCTCAACCGCGAATAGTAAAAATCATTTCGTTTATCATTTGAAATTTGAATTGTAAGCTACTTTATTATATAAAAGATTGTCATTACACTAAAAAGTAATTTATAATCATAGATTTTAAGTTGATTTATTTGTAGTTATTACTCATAAAAATAATTTAATAAAATAAAACAATTAATAAAAATGTTTACACACAAAGATGTTAATCAAATTGAATTTTACAAATTTGACTCCGAGTCTAACAAGCTTGGTTTTTTAAAAGAACCAAAAAAATTATTCAAACTCAGCTCGATTAAAACTCGAACCCGAATAGTTCAACTATTTAATATATAAACAAGCCAAACCTTTTAAGCCCGTTTAGAAATTATTCAAACCTTAACTTGTTTAAAATACAAATTGAACTCGAGCCAAATTTTAGCCACATCGAACCCAATTATCTCATTTCGATTAACACTCATATTTAGCATATTTTTATTAATTAAAAAATATGATATTAAAATGACTTTTCAATAATGACTTGAGTATATTTCTGCGCCTATTTTCTTTCTTTTTTTTGGCCGTGCATGTTTAATAATTTTAATTTTCTTTTTCTTAATTTGGTTCTCCGCCTCGCGGGTCACGCGAGTTTGGTGATGGTGAACCGTCAATAACAACACAAAAATAATAAATAACAAATTATTTTCTCGAACGGGACGTCCGCTTCAACCTCCGAAAGATCCACACTTTCTACTCCATAGTCAAATAACACTATTATGTATTATCTTCTCTATCTCATCTGCAAAATAAACCCACATCCACATTCACACTCCCAAGAAGAAACGCAGAATGCATTGAGAACCACAACATACACACACCCACGAAGTTGGAAGTAACCATTTTTTTAAGGGGAAAAATACCATGCAGAAGACCAAGAAAACTGATCATAAGCAGGAAAAGAACAGAGTGGCTGTAAAGATGGGAGGAGGAGGTATTGCCGGAGGTATTTTTCTGGTGGGTGGAGCCTTGGCTATTGCCACTCTGGTGTCTGGTTTTGCCATCAGAAAGAGACGGCAAAGATCCACCAGCTCCACCAACAACAACCAGCTTCCCCGACCCATACCTACCAGTCCACCTAACAAGGTGGAGGAGAATAATAAAGATGAAGGGAGCAAAGGCCTCCATTTACTTGTTCCAGATTCTTCTCCAACTATGCATCACCATCTAAGGTTTGCATCAGCATTGTTATTCAGTCTCTTTATATGTCTTCTAATTTGTTTTCAAGCTAAAAATAAATGTGTTTTGATGTGATTGTTGATTAATTTCCAATTGCAGCAATGGATCGGCAAAGACGGGTGTTGCACCGATTGACTCCAAGACCTTGATCTCCTCTCAAATTTTGATCCTGGTATATTTTAATTCTGATCAAGACTTTTTTTGACCCATCAGAGTGCTCATACAAGTAACTTGATTCAGGATGAGAAGCCCAAGCTTGAAATCAATGGTGGGAAACAAGTTCCCACCCATGGTGATGAAGAAATTATCTTCCCTAATGGTCCAAAACAACCAGAAAGCAGTCCCCTGTTGAATGACTTTGGTACCAATGCTGAAGAATTCTCATTTCCACTGGCTGATAGTCCATCGATTAAACCTGAGAACCTGAAGAAGAATGAGTCCGAAGAAGAAATCGAAGTTCTGAAGGAGGAAGAAGAAACTGAAACACTTCATGCTGATCAGACCACAGTAGATGTTGGAAAAGAACGAGGAGAAGATGAAACTTATGGCTATGGGGGAGAAACTGTTGAAGGGAACTTTGAAGAAATGAGTGAAACAGCTAGTGCAGATCAGATGGAAGCAGAGCTGCAATTCAGAGAAGACCCGGAAAATCCAACAAATGTTAATCAAGAAATAGTCTCCTCAGAAAGTTCAGTACCTAAAAGCAGTCTTTTCAAAAATTATGATGGCAAAGTGCAAGAACTTCCATTGCCAGAAGATTACAATTCAAACCCTTTTAAACCTGAAAATGTGAACAAAAACGACTCCATCAAAGGCCCTCTATCCCAGGAAGCTGTTGAAGTAATGGAAGAAGATGAAGGAACAGCAGCAGGGCATGCTGATCAGGGTGTAGCTGAAGACGACCCACAGATGCATTCCATTGAAGATGAACAAAAACAGGTAGCTGAGACACATCATGCAGATCAGTTTGCCGTAAAGGATGACAAAGAATTTCCATTCAGTGAAGACCTGGAGACCCTCTCGAATATTGATCAAGGAAATTTCTGCTCGGATAAGTCAATGCCAGAAAGCAGCTTACCTGAAAATTTTGGGGCGGATGTGCAAGAATTTTCATTTCCAGTGCTTGAAAGTCCTCTTCCCAGTCCTGAAGATGTCAACAAAAATGTCTCTACCAAAGCTTCACTGTTGATGGGAGCATTGGAAGTACTGAGAACGGACGAAGCAATTGAGGCAGCTGGTACTACTCAAACCGGAGTAGAATACTACCCTCCAATGCAAACGGTTGAAAAAGAACAAATTGAAGACTATGGTGATGATAATAGCAGAGGAAATACTGAAGAGAGAGGTGACAATGCATGTGAACAAGAAGAAGAAGAAGAAGAAAATGAAGACAGTTATGACGATGATGATGGGGAGGTTACTGTAAAAAAATGTGAAGAGGCAGCTGAGCCACCTTATGCAGATCAACTTGCAGTAAAGGACGATCAACAAATTCAATCGAACCAAGAACAAGAGACACTCTTGAACAATGATCAAGAAAATTTCTGCTGTTACACGTCTGTGCCAGAAAGCAGTTCACCTAAAAATTATGGTGCTAATTTGCAAGAATTTTCATTTCCAGTTCTTGAAAGTACTCTGCCCATGCGTGAAGATGTCAATGGCAAGGCCCCTAAGGAAGCCCCCCTGTCCTTGAAATCTATCAGACTGAAGGAAGAGGATGAAACAACTGAGGCAGCTAGTACTACTCAGACTGCCATAGAATACAACCATCCAACGCAACTGGTTGAAGAACAAAACGAAGACTATGCCAACTCTGATGGCAGAGGAAATACTGTGGAGAAAAGTGAGGATGCAATTGGAATAGTACATGCAGACATGGTTGCAACAGAAGACAACCCCAAAATAGAATCGGCTGAAGAGGAAGAGAGTAGTGAAGACAGTGATGCAAATGAACAAGATTATATTGCGGAGGAGAAAATTGAAGAGGGCTCGGATGGAACAGGAGCCTCATCCATGGAATCCAACTCTGAGGCAATTTGGCCAGTGGAGTCGATGCAGAAATTGTTGCTGGACAGCAAAGAATTGGAAATCAATAAACAGGCATTGGGAGAGACTATCGAGGCAGATAGAACAGTGAATAAAGATCATATTGGCCATAACCGCGTAGAGAATGGTAATCCCAATGATAATGGCCAAAATATCATTGAAGATGACGGCAAATCGACGTCGAATTTTAGTCAGATGTACATGATTCAGCTTGCGAAGAATAATGAAGAATCATTCACATCGAAATGGAGGATTTGGATATGGTCGAGTTTCATGCCACTATGGTTCTTGGCCTACTGGTACTTCGGTTTACCCTTCGTGAAGATCTGTCTCATTGTTGTCTTGTCAGTGATGCTCTTCAAGTACCATGAAGTCTGAGAAACGACCTTGATTTTATGTACTGCATGAAGTCAAATAAATGTTTCAGACCTGTAAAAGAGTAATGAGAAATGAAGTTTCAGGATATGTTTCAAGCATGAAGTATAAATTTAATATGTGATAACAGAACTGCAGAAACCAACACAGAGGTCGATGCTCTGCAGTGTTGATGAAGCCTAATGTATATGTTTAGCTTATTTTGTGTGACGGATCATGTCCGTCTGCTTTTTGTTTTGGCAGGTCTCCCATGCACTCATCAGTTAGTATGGTGCAGTGCTGAAAATGACATAGTTGCAGACCCATACTGCTGGCAACAAAAAAAAGTGTCTTAAATACTAACATTGCCCCCCTCATTTCTAGGTGGAACAAAATAATCTAGTTTGTAAACTAGTTGTGTATTAGGACAGATATTGATCCTGTCCAAATACCCCCCTTCTTCTTCTCATCATTCCCCTCCTCGACTGGCTGCATCCTCCTCCAGTCCTCCCCCCACAAAGAAAAAAAAATACAAAACGAACAAATATGGCCACACCACCAGCATCACCTCAGCAGTGCCCTGTTTCTCCACTGGACGTAATTGTTTGAACAACTTAGATACCAAAACCACATTATATCATCAATATAAAACTAGAAGAAATAACCTCCATTTTCTTCCTCCACCACCACAAACACACAACAGCCGTCATCACCACACATACATGCCACAACTTCACAAGCTGCTACACCCTATGACAATCATCATCATTTCTTGGCCACCTTTGACCAAATTAAATGACATACCCCTTTCTTTTCTTTTTTCAACGTTCATTAGACACCACCCATTTAACCTATGAGACCATCATATCATACCTCCCAATCCTCTCCCCATTCAATATACATACCAATAGAGGAGTTGGAGGATCACATAGTTGGGTACACATGATCACCGAAATTAGAACAAAACCCATCAAACGGGTTTGGAGCTTGGGAAATCAGAAGGCATAGAAATTAAGCATACCTGCAAGGAATCTGTAATGGCTTGAATTTGAATTCAGGGTAGAGAGCTATAGAGTTGATGGTGACTGGGGGATGATGGGAAATGTTCTGTTGTTTTTCAAGCAATCTGTTTTCCAGTGAATGTACCATCAATTGAAGCCAACGGAAATTTTAAGCAGAGGGGCCCAGAAAAACCACCCAACTTGAAATTTGTAGACCCCAAACCAGAGCATGTTAGAGAAGATTTTACATCCGGTCAAATAATCTGTGTTACCAAGCCTTACAGGAGGAGACGGGAAGCATACGCGCCTAATTCTCAATTCTCTTTCATATATGTAGTGAAAAGAAAATAAATATTTTCCTGTAAAAAAAAATATAAATATCAGTTTGTCAACATTCTTGATTAGGCACGAAAGAGAAAAAAAAAAGAAGATAAATACATGTATAGTGAGCTATGTAACACCTTTAGCATAAATGCGTCGCTCTACTCTTACAATTACCTTTACACGTGTACTTGACAGATCACTACTGTACTCTTCATATACAGACATCGAATTTTCAGACTCGCTCCAATTGGCCGCTGCTGGTGTATTTAATCACCATCACTAGACAGAACTTTACATTCATTCCTCTGTCATCTGGGCGAGCTACAGAATGACCATATCCAAAAAATGGTCAGCATTCTAGAACAGGCACACAACTCACAACTTTAACTATCCATAGAACAGTTTATATAAAACTATATACATAGAAAACATATTTTCGAAAAGAGAAAATTCAGCCACCATTGGATCATATTTCAAGCATTTCCAAGCTTCTCCAAAATAGTATGTCCTTTGTTATGATGATAAATGGAACCTCATGGGCTCATCGTCACAGGAAATACCCTATGTCATATCATCTACAATTTTTTGTCCTGCATACGGAATTTAGACTACAACTCCTCAAAGAAACTTTGAAAGAAATTATGAAGTACCACCAGAAGTGCACAACTAGCAAACCTAACAATTGAACAGACAGGTAAAAAAGGAAGAAGGGTTGACTTCAACTAAAATTATATGTAATGATGATACCCACAACTTCAACATCGGCAAGTACATGCAAAGGAGAAACGGGACTACCATTGGCCTGCAAACAGAATGTCTTTAAATGACTTGGAGTCATGAAGAAAAACACCAATAAACATGGGAAAAATACCTTTGCAGCCACCATAAAAAAGGGCGGCTGAATGACAGTTCCTCCCTTAGGCAGATATTTTGTCATCACTTCATCATAAAACAGATAATGAAGCACAATTATTTACAAGTAATTTATGCTTTTACCTCTTCCCTTGGCGTACAGACAGAGACACAGCTACCCAAGAGATCCCTGGTGATGGTGTCTATGAATTCTCCGGAGCTCATGGTGTTTATAAGTTCTCTGGAATTCGTGTTCCCAAGAAACTCCTCTTGCCATTCTCTAATAGCATTGAGCCAGCCCAATGCACGAGCATAGTCAATGACAGTTCCTTCCTAAGGCAGATATTTTGTCCGTACATCATCATAAAACAGATAATGAAGGCCTTAGCAAACACAATTATTTACAAGTAATTTATGCTTTTACCTCTTCCCTTGGCGTGAAGACAGAGACACAGCTACCCAAGAGATCCCTGGTGATGGTGTCTACAAATTCTCCAGAGCTCATGCTGTCTACAAGTTCTCTGGAGTTCGAGTTCCCAAGAAACTCCTCTGGCCATTCTCTAATAGCATTGAGCCAGCCAATCTACCATAAAGTTAGCAATGGTCAGGGAAATTGAAAGGGCTTCTCAGGTGAACTATAAACATTACTATTATGCAATTGTAATAGATACACAACCCTAAAGGCAATGTTTGCATGGTTAAGACAGACTGCTTTCCCTTTTTAACTTCTACCATTATTTATACCATGCCCAATTAAACCATTGACAAGAACTTTCTGAACTGTGAGCAGCAATGCCCCTCTCTGCTATCAAATTCATCTCTTCAGTTCTTATCTGCCAACCATACACAACCCACTCAGAGCACCGAAATTCTTGCAAACAATCAAAAGAAGAAGTATACCTTATAAATAATTGATCCAATAATTACACTAAACATCAATTTAGGTGAGAGGAAGAAAGAGTGAGTATACAGAGCTCACGGGATAGGGGTCCAAATTCCACATAGAAGCACAAGAACATGAGAGCAGACCTGCAAGGAACAGCTATGAGAGAAAGCTTAGCCCAGAATAACTTGTGGATATGATGTGTGTTAAAAGGCATAGTCAGTCAGTAGGAACATACTTGCTGTGCACTTCTGAGAGGCCTAACTCCAACACATGACTTTGGTTTTATGATCATTCGAAGCTGGTAATCCAGGCATATAAAAGCATGTCAAGAAAGATATAATTGACCATTCTTGACATAATTAATCAAGTTTCCAATCAATTGTTATGGAGATCAATATCACAACAAACCAGTGCAATTTAGTTGACTTCATTTATGGAACCTTCAGATTTGAGTACAGCTTTATAAATACTGCAAATAGACATGCATACAATCAACATACCAAATAAATCCTTATTACAGAAGTACACAGGCTATATAAGGTATTTGCCAAAGTGAAGAAACAAGAAGACATCTGTTCAGCAGAGAAGATAATTATCAATGAGAAATATATACACCAACTTAGAAAGATAAGCTATAAAAACAAAGTTCATATTTCATTTCAAGTTCAGTAGCAACACTTGCTTCACAAATGAGTCCATATGATGTGTACTCCTACATCGTAAGGACAGCAAAAACAGGAGTTCGTCTCCCAATGTTTCTTACATTTAACTATCCACCAACTTAAATTCTCACTTTTTTTTTTTGGGTACAGCGGAATAATCAAAACAAATCAAAAGCCTCTAAAATAGGCAATACTAGCATTATCGTTTCTCAAAAGCTCTCCCATTGAGCAAGGTGGGGAGTTGAGGATCACTAAGTTGTCATTTTGAATGACACTCAAATTTGCAAGCTTGTCTGCGCTAAAATTTCCTTCACTTTTGGTGTGAAGGATGGGGCAGTTGAGGAGAGTGAGGAGCCTTTTGCATTCAAAACTGATTCCTCTCTCCGGGTGTGTATCTTCAATTCTTGTTGTGAGGAGTCTATGAGCATCAAGAGAGTCGGTCTCCACAATAATCTTCTTCAATCCCTTGGAATGAGTGATCTGGAGGCCCATGAAAATGGCCCATAGTTCAGCCTGAATACTTGAGCAGTTAGGGAGTCTTCCATAAAACCCCAGCTGCCACGCCTGTTGGTCACTTCTCACGAGGCCTCCAAACGCAACAGATCCTGTATTACCTTTGGAGCATCCATCCACATTTAATTTCATCCATCCTGTAGGAGGGAAAGACTAGCAAATGAGATTCTCTGGGCAAAGATCTTGACAAATAAAATTATTATTGAGGAAAGCAGAGTTAATCTCTTGGACCATAATCCAGGCATTTCTAGCTATGACACTAGGGGGAGTTTGGGATTTTTCAAAGCACTCTTTGTTCCTGTCTCTCCAGATTTGCCAGATAACAGAGGTAAAAACAATAGGCCATTCCACTCCTTTCCATTTCTCCTTTCTTTTGTTTTTATGATTATCAAGAAGTCATTTCTGTAGGTCGTTATCAGTAAAGGACCTGGACCAGTTGTTCCCAAGAAGGACTTTTCAAACAGCCTGTACTTTGGAGCAGTCTCTAAGGATATGCAAAGTGGATTCACAGTGAATTTTACATCTCTCACAAGTTGGATCATTAGTCAAGTTCTTGGTAGCTCTAAGGTGATTAGAAAGGATTCAATCATTTTGGACGATCCAGAGGAAGAATTTGAGTTTCTGTGGAATTTTCATACGCCAAATCCATTCCCAGTTCAGGGTCAAGGGGTAAATATCCTCACTAGGATCAGAGATCCATTTATATGTGGAGCTAGCAGAGAAATTACCATTACTTGAAATACCCAACATGGGGTGTTCTTCAAATCGCAATTATAAGGGATATAGGTAAGCTGAATATCAGATAAAATGCTAGGGGAGAGAAGCTGGCCTGGGAGGTTCAAGTTCCAGTTACCTGTGGAGTCGATGAAACTTGCCACTGGGGTGTTGGGGTCAGCTGTGGCTGGTAGCTGCATTCTATTGGCAATACAAGTATCTCCACACTACCAATCGGTCTAAAAAGAAATATTATTTCCATCACCGATGAGCCATTTAGTTCCTTCCTTGATAATATGATTTGTTTTGAGAATAGCTCTCCAAATTAGGGAACTGCTTGATTTATGTTTCCATTCAGGACAGGTACTCTTGATGTATTTATCTTTGATAACTCTAGACCACAGGTTGTCTTTGTTAGCCTTGATATTCCATCATAATTTAGAGAGGGTAGCTAGGTTGTTTGATCTCGTATTTCTTAGACCTAGACCACCTTTCTCCTTAGGTTTATAAATAGTATCCCAATTAATGAGGTGAACCTTTTTCTTTTCTTCTGTATCTCCCCAAAGGAAATTCCTATTGAGTTTATCAATTTTATCACATGTGCCTTGGGGTAGCCATGTGGTCTGCATGGTGTAATTTGGGATGGTGGATGTGACAGAGTTGATGAGTTTCCCTCCCTGCTATGGAGAGGTTTTTTACCTTCCATCCACTGAGCTTAGACTGGATTTTTTCAATAAGGACACTGTAGGTTTCTTTATTCGATCTATGATGAAGAATTGGGATACCAAAGTATTTGCCTAAATTTTTAGTTCTTGTGAGGCCACTTCTTCTACTTAGGTATATGGCTTTACTTTTGCAAATATTGGGAGAATAAAAAACCCTGGACTTGGCAAGGCTAACTTTCTGACCTGAGATATTGCAAAAGTTTTGAAGAAAGTCCTTGATCATATCACAGTCTTTTTCAGTAGCCCTAGATAAAAGGATGATATTATTCGCAAAAATGAGGTGAATAATTGAAGACCCATTCTTTGATGCTTTAATTCCTTTCCACTTTCTCCCTTCCACTATTTTATTAATAAGTTGGCCCAATTTTTCCATGCATAAAGTGAAGAGATATGGTGACAAAGGGACCCCTTGCCTAAGGCCCCTCTTGGGAGTAATTGGGTTGAGTGGTTCTCCATTCCAGAGGATAGAAAGGAAGGAACCAGTGACACAACTCAAGATGATATCGATCCAAGAGAATGGAAAATTAAAGTTCATAAGAGTTTGATGAAAGAAGGGCCAACTAACCCAATCATAGGCTTTTCAAGATCAATTTTGATAACCATAGCCCCCTCCTTCCCTTTTTTCCTTTTAATTGTATGGATAATTTCTTGGGTGATGATGACGTTATCAATGGTCTGTTTACCTGGGACAAAACTGGTTTGATTGGGACTTATAAGTTTATCCAAGAACCGTCTAATTCTTACCACAAGGAGTTTAGTGAGAATTTTATACCTCACATTACAAAGGCTTAATGGTCTGAACTGTGAGGCTATGTTAGGGTTTTCAATTTTAGGGATCAATGTGATCCATGTATTATTAATTTCTTTAGGGCATTTCCTCGACCTAAAAATATCTTTAATTAGATTACAAACAGAGTCCCCCACCACATCTCAAAATTTCTGATAGAAGATGACTTGAAGCCCATCTGGCCCTGGGGCTTTATTAGCCTTGATGCTAAAGGTCGTTTTCCTAATTTCATAGTCCGTGACAGGGACTTGGAGGATTTGGTTCTCAATAATGTTCAAAGAAGGATGAGTATAACTATATAGATCTTCTGTTTCACACAGTTTTTTAGTACCAAAAAGCTCTCAGTAGTATGTCTGTATGATTTGCTCAATTTCTAATTTCTCTGAGACCCAACTACCCTGCGCATTCTTTAGATTATGAGGTCTATTTTTCTTTCTTCTTATGATTGTGGAAACATGGAAAAATTTTGTGTTCCTGTCCCCCATTGTGATCCATTTGGACCTTGATTTTTGGTGTTAGATGATCTCTTCTTGATTTAGTATATGAACATATTCCAGAAGGAGTTGTTCTTCAAGTTTTTCAAGGTTGTGAGTGTAATTTATTTATTGTGCCTTTTGTATTCCTTCTAGTCTTGCAAGAACTCTTCTTTTCCTTCGAAATATGTTTCCAAAGGAAGAAGAGTTCCATTCTTTAGCATTATTGGCAAAATTTGCAGTAGCTTGAATAAGGGAATTATTAGAATGGTTCTACGTATTAGTCACAACATCTTTGAAATCAGGCCTTGTTAACCAGAATGCTTCCATTCTAAAAGGTCTAGAAATAGCGGGGGAAGAAGAGTTACCTTTGAGATGGATCAGGAGTGGGCAGTGATCAGAGTAGCTTCTAGGAAGATTTTGAACACTTGCTTCAGGGAACTAGGAGGTCCATTGAGTGTTCGCCAACGCTTTATTCAGCCTTATTTTGGTGTTTGTCAGCCCTTTCCTTTTGTTGTTCCAAGTGAGTCTTGGTCCGTTGTAACCAAGGTCGATGAGTTCACATTTGTTAATCCTTTCTCTAAATTTTCTGGTTATGTTGCAATGGTCAATGTGCCTTCCTCTTCTTTCCAAGGTACTAGAGAAGTCGTTTAGGTCACTGGCGGCCATCCACCCATGAGAATAGTTGTCTCTAACTTGACTTAGATTGTCCCAGAGATGGTCTCTATTCGAGGGATTGAGACTACTGTAAATTACTAAGAACAACCACTCATCAAAATCAAGCCGACTTATGTGGGCATGAATGACTTGGGCTATTGATTGGTGGATGGATATAGTAACCAGGGTGGGATCCCACATAAGCCAAAGTTCACTAGCTCCACCAACTGGTTCAACTTTTTCGGACATAGTCAGACTGAGATGAGAAAAGAAATTTCCTAGTTGAGAACTAGGGACTTTGGTTTCCATAAGAACTACAATTTCTAGTTTATGAGCTCTTAAGATATCTTCAAAGGCTCTTTGAAATCTTTCTTTACCAACTCTTCTACAATTCCAGGACAAAATCTTCACGGAATGCATCATAAAAGGAATTGGGAATTGGGAATCATCATTCAGGTCTAAGATGGCCCTGATTTGGTTTACTCTCTTTACAAAGGGAACCAGAGGCGTCATTGAAACCACTGTGAGCCTGTTCATTATATCCCTGAGCATATATGGTTGAATCTCTAGCGAAAGTTCCTTGATTATCTAGTAGGTATTCACAAGCCATTTGCTCACAAACCTCGACCTGAGCATTAGATCTATTGGACTTGAGTCCAGATTGAGGAATCTAAGCAGGGTTATCTCCATTCCAATCAGGGGGTTTAAGGTTCTTGAGGGCACCAGGTGACGTAACCTGGGTGTGGTTTTGGTGGTGATTGATGATGGTGAGGTTTGGGGAGCTTGGTGTAGAAAGTGTTTGGAGAATGGAATTAAGAATTGGGGGGGGGGGAGTCAAAGTGACCGGAAGGTGAGGAGGTGCCGGCAGAATTTCAGCGCTGCGATTATGCGCTGGAAACGAGGGGGCTTACAAGGTGTTGGATCTCTGTGTTGATGTCGATGGGTCAAAGCTGGATTTAGAGATCTGGATCCATTGGGATTTGGTTACCTGTTCTCTGAATCTCCTGGTACCAGCTTTAGGGTTCAAGGCTATTTGATTTTCTTTGTTGTGGTCTTGAGTTTTTTTACTGGACTCCTCTTAGGCTTGGCGTTGTAGTGATTCTAAGGCAGTGAAATCCAGGGCAATAAATCTGTTAAGATTTTGGGTCATATTAGGCCCATGGTCTTTCTTGATAATTCTTCTTCTTCTTCTTCTTCTCCTGGGTTGGGTTAACATCCAGGGCCCATATTCATCTTCCTCTGCCTGGAAATGGGTTGTCGATGTCTCAACGTCTCTATTTGCATGTGATCGTTTTGAATCCGCAAGGTTCGCGACGCCAATGGTTGTGGTTGTTTGCGGTGGGGGGGTTTCTCCGGTAGGTCCTGGGGGGTTGGTTTTTCCGGCGGAATACATGCAATATAATTCTTTGTGTCCAACCCCTCCACAACTAAAACAAATCGAGTGACTACATTCGTACTCTACCCTATATAGCCTCCCCCTGAGTCTGTAATAAGGAGTTAGAGGTTTGTTGAGGTCCCTTTCAACACATATTCTGACATATTTGCCTTTCTCTGCCACAGCTGTTTTGGTATCAACCTTAACTGGTTTTCCAAGTGCCTTGGCTATCTGAAAGAGGATTCTCTCATCATAGTATTCCAGAGGTAACTCCGGGAGTCTCAGCCAGAGAACCGTTGTAATTTCTGATGCCATGGTAAGGATGAAATTGGGTTCCCATTTTCTCACAGTAAGATAGTGGTTCATGATAATCCATGGGCCTCTTGTAAAAACCTTAAAGCTTTCCTCCTTCATATGGAAATTGAACAAAAAAAAACCATTATCAAGATCAATTGCATCAAAATCCCCTTGCAGATTCCATAAATTTCTAACCTTCATACGTAGGACCTTATAGCCGATGCTTCTCCCTAGAAGCTTAACTAATAGTCCATCTTTCCATTTTCCCCTAATTCTCCATAGAGTTCTCTGTGACAGATTAATGGAGGGGCAGGCATCATCTGAAAAGTTGATTATTGTGGGGCTTCGGAGCTTTGGGCTTTTGGGGTTATCTTATGCCTCTTCCTCATCGGCAGATTTTTCATAATTTTCTTCATCAAAATAGATTGCACTACTGTCTTCCATCAATGCTGCTTTATAGTTACATGGGGTGAGATCCTTTACCGGTGGTGAGTGCTTTGCTTTTTGATTTTCTGTGAATGGAGTACCCTGTTGCAGGTCCACTTGCATCTCTTCCTCTTCTTGTATTCTGTGGGTTTCCTTAATCTTCTTTGTGCTTCTCTCAAGGTGGTCGTCTTCTTCTTCTGACCTTTTCTAATTTTTCATGGGGTCCTCCTCCATATCAGTTGGGGGGGGGGTTTAGGGATGGAAGTGGGGTAAACAATGAGCATTGAAGCCTCTGGCTTCACCAAAATCTCCAATCACTTAGAGAGAGAAAGAAGAGAGAAGTCAGAGCTTACAGGCAAATCATATTAAATTCTCACTTTCACATAAACTTACATTCAACCAAACCCTTCTTAGTCGTCTCTCTTCCATACACTCTCTTCTCAACATCTTAAATAACAAAATATATATTTCATGAATTTATTTTAAATGCACTTATGTGTCATGCTTCTAAATTTGAACTATTTATACACAAGAAATACCTATAGAATTGTTTTTGACGCATTATCCACTCGTTGAATGCAACAGTTGCTCGATCATTCAACCCAATAAATGCCATCTATAAAATAACTAACAGTTGGAGAGGTTAGGGTTAATAGAAGGCATCAATTCTTTTGGCTTCTACATTTCAATTTTTCTATTAGAAAATCATAATTAGCTCACCTCTTCAATAGCTTCACCAGGTTTAAAGGATTGTTGCATCAGACTAATTTTTATGTCAATCAATATTTCCTCTGTAGGAATGTCTGACATTCTAAATCCTGGTCAGACCAAATCTTTCATCAAACTTTAAATTGACTGCAAATTTTTTCTACTTTTTTTTTTTTTTTTTGCTTTTTGAAGTGGCAATATTTTTTATATGAATACGAACCAAGTTATAAGTAAATAAAAAAAATAACAATCCAAAGCAGAAAAGCACGAGGAAGAAAATCAAACGTGACGGTATTGTTCTGACCAAATATAACTATCCAAAGCGACAGATAATAAAGATCTAAGGTAGGCGATATGATGATTTTCTTCCAATTTATCCCAATGTTCTTGATTTCGTATAATGATGGTTTTGGCTAAAGGCCAAAAATATATACACCAGCCTCCGTAGAAAGGGAAGCAGGCATTAGTATCACCTACCAAGGCGAAGTTATAGGTCATTAAAACTGCAGGTATAAGAAAGTACTTCAAAGATTTCGTATGATTCACCTATTTCGCTTTGAAGCTCTAGCATACGTATGCTTCACGATTTATTGAACAGCTCTATCTCTTAAAAGAAACTTCGATGCAAATCTTGAAGTAATAACCACAAATTCATAGGAAAGTCTTACGCAAAATATAAAGATTCTTTCAACGAGCAGAGTACAGGAATTTTTTTTTTCTACTTACAAATTTGATGCGATTTCTTCTTCTACTTGGTCCATAGTCCAGAGGATGATGCACACTGCTCGCAAGAAAGCCAATCAATGTCCTCGGAGCCTTCCATGCACAAGACAGCACGCTACAGTCGTGTCTTTCACTAACGTCCCCTTTCCAGAACATACATATGATCACGCATTCTACAGACTGAAAATGATCACAACACGCAATTAGTTAACTGGAATCTTTAATCAAATAACAGAATCGGAGTCGAAAACTTGGACGTGCCTGAGATTGAAGGAGCGTAAGCTATTTATACTTCGAAGCATCGGAACTAAGCATTGAACCAGAAATAAACAAAAACAACAGAGCTCAAGAAGAATCAAAGAAACTGAATCCAAACGATTCGCATTCCGTAGAATGGAGAAGCTCTATGCTTGTTTCTGAAACTAGGCCAACGATGAATTGGACGAAGAAGATGAACAGATAATCCACAGAGAGAGAAGAGAGGTGGGGAAGAGGCGAGTGATTGGGTAGGGACAGAGACTTGGAGAGGTTCGCGAGGGCCAGACAAAAGCCGCATGACATATGTCTTCTCATCACTATTTTTATAGGTGAAAATGATTTTGTCGCGAGCCTTTTGCCGCTAAAAAAAACAAAATTAGTTATATCTATTTATTTAATTTATTAAATTCATTCATCACAATTTGTTTATCGAATTTAACTGTTCGTGTGATGTGATGGAAAAATAGGAGGATGAAAAATTAAAATGATAGATAAAAATATCAAATTTAGTAAGAAAGAAAAATAAAAAAGAAGAAAAAGTGAATGGATGAGTTTTTCTTCCACCTCATTATGATCAATCCCTCCAACATCAGAAGAAAAATGAATAAAAAATTAATTATTTGTATTGAAATGTATTTTATTTGTTTATATATCTTTTGATATATACAATATTTATGTATATATTAATTTTATTTATAAAATTATATTTTTTTTATAAAAATATTTAAATAAAAAATATATTTTTTCCACCTTAATTAGGGGTGAAAATTTTCGACTCATAAAGATGACACGACTCGAACTCAATACGAATTTTATGACACGAACTTGATTATAACTCAATACGAACTCGAAAATGACCTAACACACGAATACAAAATATAAACGGCTTATATTCAGTTCAACCTATTAGACTCAAAATTGACACCATCAACCCGTTTATTTAAAAATAAACACTTTCTCTATTTTCTCGCTTGTATGGTAACACAAAATTAACATTTTAACTAATATTACATATATAAAATGTTAATTATTTGTAACTATTTATTAAGCACTAGCATATTATTATATAAAAAAGATATTTTTACTTATTATTATTATTATATTATTTTATTCAATTTTTAATTTGTAGAAAATGTATGAGCATGAGTTCAATTAAATGAAAATAGAAAATTATAGTTAAATTTTTTATTCAAAGTTTGTATGAGTCAATACGAATACGATACGAAAATAAACAAATCAATTCGACACGACATGATTAATTAAATATAGGGGTGTTCACCCTACCCGTAGGGTAGGAAATATGGTGTTTCATCTTCCTACCCGATATTTTACAAAATAATTTTTTTTGGCCTACCTACCCGATCAAGTAAAGTATTCTTACCAAATTTCTATCTAAATTAATCGAGTAGGAAGTCGAGTTTGAAATCGGGTGAATACGTCTTGTAGCTCTTAATTTTTAAATCATTTTAATAATCCAATTAAGTAACATACCCCAATTTAACAATACAATAAACCAATAACACTAAAAATTAAAATAATTACAATAACAATTAACATAAAACACAAGAAAGCCCAAGGTATAAACATCAATCCATCATAAGTGTTACAAAAATATAATAACAACTATTTTAGATTTAAACCATATGAAACACATGAAAATATATGTTGATAGGATAGGGTAGGAATATGAAAATTTTATGGGCATTTTGTATTTATACCTAATTTAATCGGAAGATCAAAAAATTGTTCGCATTCCTATCCGATTTTTTCGGTTAATCGATCAATAGGGTCGGGTAGTGGATAGGGTAGAAAATTACAGGCAATCGAAAATTTGAACACCCCTAGTTAAATGAGTTGAGTTAGGTTTGATAAATATTCAACATGAACCTGTAATAATTTAACACGAACCTGACACGACATGATTCGATTGTCACCCTTAATCTTAACTAGAATAAAAAAAAAATTAATTATATTTATTTTTCATCCATCCTACCAAACACAAATTAAGGAAGTAAAATGTATCATTCCTACTTTCATTCCTTAAAGGATAAAAAGTTTATCCCTCATACTTTCTATTCTTTCTACCAAACAGGGCATTAGAGCAACTTCAATCTAGCTCAACAAAATAATTAGTCAAAATATATTTAAAATATTATATCATCTACTTTAGTTAATTTTTTTTTTTAGGTTCACTTCAACTACGCTCTCTATTTTAGTTAACTATTTCAACTAACTTTCAACAATATAATTCAAAAATCAATTTAACTACCTATTTAATTAAAAATCAGTATCAATTTAATCACATATTTAATCAATAATTAATACTATTTTAACTACCTATTTAACCAAATTAAGAGACAAAAACAAAGGGGAGGGGAAGGTGGGTTTCGACAGCAAAACAGAGGAGTGGGGGTGTAGAGGGTGAGATGAATGCCTTGTTGTTCAGTTGGAGAAGTTCAATATTAAGAAGTGGCGAGGAAGCTGGTCTCTCCAGATTTGGCGAGCATGAAGGCCTCCTAGGTTTTGACGAGGAGGATAGCTAGTTGGGTTGAAGCTGGTTTTTGGAATCAGCCTCGCTAAAATGGCTAAAAATTGGAGGATAGATAGTGGATTGGAAATACTCTTACAATAAACACAGGTAAGGAAGTGAGTTAGACCTTCGCACAAGTATACAATCAACTTTGGGTCTCATTTTTCTTAGCACAAATTACGTCTCATAGAAGCCATCTTATCTACAAGGTGATTATGAAAATGATGTCTTACTATTGTCCATAACAGGACGTAGGGAGGGGACTGAACTAGGAAATAAAAAACGGTCCCCATATTCACCATAGTGCTTAAGGGGCAAGTTTTAGGGTAAATAAGGCCAATCAAAAATGGAAGGAAACTTTGTTTGAATATGCTTGGATGATTGACCAAAAAGAAAGGAGGAGCATTGTATTGTCGACTTCGGGTATGTAGGATAGCCCACCAAATAGCTGCCAAGCCAAGGGAGGAGGTTAGGAGACTTTAGTCGACGAGGTTAGGTCTTGGCACTTGAATATTCATAGCTAAGACCTACTAAAAGAGTGACCAGACTCATTGTGGTGATTAGAGGACACCTTTGAGCATTCGGCACTTATAATAAAATAGATAAATTATGCGGGCTCAAACTAGTAGTCAATTTGAGACTAAAATGCAAAAACAAACGAATATTGTAGAAAGGATACAACAAACAATCAATGTTATGTAGGCATTTGGTAATGGATCGAGTTTAGTCCACTTCAAAGGAGAATCCAAGTCTGATGAGTTAGATATGGATTGACATGTAAGTCAATAGTTCAAATCATAATCTAAACCTATTAGATCATATTTTCATTGGTTAAGTTTGGAATATGCTATTATATAGTTTCATTATATGCCTCTATTGGATACATTTATATGAAAGTTGAGTTATTATTATTTTATGAAATCCAATTGAGATTCATATATATTTTCTAAAATTAAGTTTAACTAAGAAATTTACATCAAATTAGATTAATTTTTAAGTCACCAAGTTTTTAATTTTTGAAGAATTTGAATATGGACCACGGGAATCAAATGTGTCGGACCATGGATTGGAATCAATATAGAGCCTTCAAATCAAATTAGATCATGGGTCGAAATCTAATTCACGTTTGACAGGCCTACATGAAAGGAAAGAAAGAAACAAAGGCAAAAGAAGAAACTCCGGCCACACCATTTTGTGAAAAGAAAATGTATTTATAAAAGGATAAAGCAATTACAATATACATGGCGCATAAATTAAACCAGAGCTTTGGGTGTCTTGGCTCAAAAGGGAAATGCAAACAAATACAATCACAATACTAGAGAAAAGTCTCCTAAGACATAAAAAATCTTAGTCTTATGTTGTTTTGAATAACTGATCATCACATTAACGCACCAAAAAAAGCGGTCCACAAGGTTTGCCATCTTAAGGCTACTTTCTAAATCCATCCCTCCATAGTCTTCGAATACATAGTACTTTCCAATGAGCAATCAAAAACTACACTCTTTTTTTTTTTTTTCTTTTTTCTTTTCTTTTTTTTCAGTGGAAAAAAATGTGATTCACTGTAAATAGCACTTATGATTTAAGGGCAGGCTGCTGGGTTCTGTACGCCGCTGAAAACTGGTTTAACATTTGCACATAGAGACGAAAAAGAACCCTTCGATTCCAAGCCAGAGAAGGTAAGATCGATGTCAGCCAATTCAACGTCTTCACAGGGGACTGATGAACTGCAACTCAAAGAAACTGCAACTTTTGATACTGAGGTACCCCTTATGTTCGTGAAATGTACATCGCTGATCTTCACGTTCGATTGCTGCCAAGATTAACAAGAAAAAAAAAAACATTATTATTGTTAATGTGACAAGTGTTTGAGCCCTTGTTTGAATGGTGTCGTGCTCGTGTTTGGATTGTGTCTGGATACTCAGAGAGAAGATTAATAGTATATTGTGATGTATGACAATTGCGGAGAATTGAAGTATCTTACCCCTCCCGTTTTCCCAGAACCGTAATTTTGATCTATGATGATTGGATTCTTGACATTTTCCATGATTATATCTTCAAAAATAATGCCAGTAGCTAGCAATTTGGGTGACTTGTGGTAACTTTTGATTCTTGCACCGTTTGTTGTCCCGTTAATTGTGCAGTTCCTCACAGTAACTCCTTTCACATCGGTCTCGCCTGGGCGCTTTCCAAGACTCCCAATACTGGAGACGCCATTCAGAGGAGGAGGAAGAAGAAGAACAGAAACGGAATTAGAAACTTGTTGAGAAAAAAAGTAGCATTTCAGCGCATGAGACTTCCAATACTGTGGATTTTGGGAGGGAAGAGTCTATATTGATATACCTGATGCCATGTCCTGGGCCACAAGTAACCTGGGTGATGGTAACATTGGTATTGCCCTCACCTATAGAAATGCAATCGTCACCGGTTCCAATGACAGTGTTAGTTACCCTGACGTTTTGAGAACGACTAATGTGGACACCATCAGTGTTTGGGCTATCTCCAGGTGCAACTATAGTGAGATTCTCAAGTTTGATGTCACTGCTCTCAAGGACCTTCGTGTGGAAGCCCTTGCCATTGAGCACAGTCATATCCCTCATAGTGCAATTTTTCGCCTGTTGAAATACCAGAGACTGGGAAAAACAAAACAAAAAAATAATAATAATAATAAATATATCAGTTTAAGTTTTTAGATGAATTTGCGATTCACTAATACGAAAATAAATGATTATGCACTTACAACTGGGAGAACACCACTGCAATCCATTCCAGCACAAGCAAACTTCCACGAAGCCTCGCCTTGCCCGTTAATGGTTCCTGAACCCAAAATTTCTACACCTTCGACGTGTTCAATTGATATCCAAAAGCCACTAGTGAACAGACTGAGATCGGTCTGTGCCAATAAGGTTCCCTGAACTTCAACTGTTAAAGGTTTGGCAGTGCATGGCCCCTGGAAGACAACTTCCCCTGCCCTAAATTCTCCATTTGGAATAACAAGCTTTGCTGGCCCACTTGATTTGCATGCTGCATTCCATGCACGTATCATCGCCTGCACGTACATTATTTCATGTATAAAAGCTCACATTATTTCATGTATAAAAGCTCTTATTCCTTATTCATCGTATAAAAAATGAAGTAAAATTTATGGGTGTTTTAAGACAAGTAAAGTTATGAGAAATGTTATACGATCAATATAGAAACCTTCGTATCAAATGATATGACGGTGATCAATTCAAGCATTCAGAAAGAAGCTATATACAAATATATAAAGGATCAAACCATGAATCATTGAAAAAATTTTGAGGGAGTCGAGCTATTCTTAATAGTGCATATGGCCGGAAGGAAGGAAACTCACCATAGCACTCTCGGTCCGGCTATCAGGCTTAGCGCCATAGTTCGTAATATCAAAGACTGTAGCAGCACCAGGTGTAGTAGCAGCACCAGGTTCAGCGAGGACACGGCGGGTACCAAACGACGCACCTTCAGCCCCCAAAGTAACCAAAGCCAAACCCAAAAGAAGAGCAGCTTTGATTTTAATTCCTTTTGTGAGGGCCATTGTGGTGGTCTTGAAACCCTCCTGCTACAACCGTCTTCAATTCCGAAATATGGATAATTAAATGATTAGTCTCTAAGCCTCTCAGGCTTTTTATAACCTGTTTTGGGTGGCCATTCTAACTAATCTTTCGTTTTTTTAGGATCACCTGTCAATTGGAATGTGATTTCTATCCGTTATTTTTGGTTTCTCTGTGTGATTAGTGATTTTCCACGAAACTTGGCAATTTTCCAGCTCCAAGAGAAGCACGAGAGGCTCAGGGCTACCTTGAGGTCTAGGTTTCTGTTTACCCATTCAGTATATGTGGAAGCTCTCCAACAGAAGATAGAAAAATACGTGTATGCGTACGTAATTTTCTTGGTGTCTGTTGATTTTACTGATAAAATTTGTGGTTATTTCACTAATTAAATTTAACTCCACACCTTCTATCTTCTCGGCTATTATTTGTTTTATTTTTTTTACTATCTTTGAAATCTTGTGTTCCAACTTACAGTATTTGTTTTATGAGTAATGTTATATGAACTTAAAAACTAGACTTGATAATCTCAGTTATTGATTTTATTATGGGTCTCGGCATTTATTGGAACTCACTATCTATTCAATGGTTGAGATTATCAAGTCTAATTTTTAAATCCATCTAACACTACTCTTGTTTTATTATTTTTTTCAATTTTTAAATTTTTATCTTCCAACTTATGTTATGGTATCAATGTTAATTATCTGTAATCTAAAACTAAGAGACACGACCTAGAATTATTATTCGGACTTCATTGATTCTAAGTGGAATGGCATGGGTGAGGGCCCAAAAGATGAAGGATTCATATAACTCTTTTTATTTAGGGAACTTTGGAAAATGATACATTTTTTAACTCTTATTTGAGATAAATGTCTCTTTCAAATTTTTTTTTTTATAAAAGTCTTTTTTTTTTTTTTTTTCATAAAGTCTAAAGTACCATTCTAACTATATGGAAAAAACACCAATACCCCTACAAGCATCAATCTCTCACGATACTTGAATCAACGCCAACAAAATCGTGACCAATATCCCTCAAAACATGGAAGTTGACTACTATTCTAAAATGTTTCTATATTATTATTATCCTGTCACATTTTTTTGAGAAATTTGTCATATTTTTTTAATATATTTTCATATTATTTTTAAATACCTTGTCACATTTTTTTAATATGTTGTCATATTATTTTTGAATAACTTGTCACATTATTTAATATGTAGTTACATTATTTTTGAGTATCTTGTCACATTGATTTTTATGTTGTTACATTATTTTCAAAAAAAATTCGATTCATACAAAAAAAATCAAAAATAGAAGACAAAACCAAGGCGTCCAGTTAAGCAATTTTTGTTGGGTTATAAGAGAAGACGAAACTCTAAAATGGTGAAGAAGAAATCAAAATCTCGCTACACCAAAAAAAAAATACTACAATCTATGTAGAACGAAAAGTTTATTCAAAAAAAAAAACTGAAATGTTGAAGAAGAAAAACTTTTAGTTCAAAAGAATAATGTCAAATGAATTGATATTAGTATTTTAAAATTCAAATGATTGTATCTATCACAATAACACTGTAAAGAATCTTTTCAAATATTTTCATATCAGTTATGCATGAATCAAGGCAAGGATAATTTGGTAATATTTAGAAAAAGAAACTAAAAAATGTATTTTCTTATAATTTTTTATACTTATTTTGAACTTAAATGCTTACATATTAAAACGTGGAACTTATATTCAAATAAGACCTAAAAATGGTGCTCACACCCAATGAATACAAATTTTGATGCGAATTCAATTGAAATCCAAATTTGATTAGTGTGTAATAAATTGATACTTTTGACTAATTAAATGGAATGTGAATCTAAATTCATCAAATCATACTTCATTGGTTGAGATTTATGTATAAAGAAAATGAAAAAAATTGATTGATTATTTGATGACCTTAAGATAAAACTAAAATAAATTTAATTAAACTAATCTTTAGTTTAATAATTTAGATCGGCTTAAATTCGATCCGTTGCGTGTAGGGATGTCAGTGGACCGAAGTGGAGGGCGAGGGGTGTAGTCTCCATCTTCGTAACCGCTTAAAAAAACTCCGTCTATTCCCGGTCCACCCCCGTTAACGAATATAGTTTTCGTCTCTATTTTCGTCTGCGGGTAAATTTTTAATCCCCATCCCCGCTTCCCCCGTATCCGCCCAAGCCCAAGCTTAAACCAACATAATCCAAAATTTGAAATAAATTAAATATTTTAAATAATCCAACAATATATTTAAACATAATATAAACAACAAATGTCCAAAATACTACTTGAATATTTGTAATGAAAAAACTTTTCTGTCATGTAGTTTCATATTTGTAATTTAATAATGAAAATAAAACATAAAAAAACTATAATAATTGCATAAAAAATATTTATATTTACGAATAAATGTGAATGTAGTTTTCAGTATTAACAATAGGGCTGATTCTATAGAAACTAGGGAACTTAGCTAGGTTGGTGAAGGATAACATGCATTCTTATAGTCATATGTGCAGCTTCAACTTTGAACATATATATATATATACGGGTACATCCGGGGGCGGGGGTAGGGAGAAGCGTGGTGGGGGTAAGGGTAAGTTTATCTCCGTTTTCATCCTCGTAAGAGTTTATACGGATATCTCTGTATACGTTCATCGTCCAATACGCATGGTCCATTCCCAGTCCAAACGGGAACGAGTTTAAACGAATATCCATTTTTTTCGGTCTATTGTCATCCCCAGTTGCGTGGCCTTCCAACCCTCCCTCATTATCCCCACATAATTATGGATAGCTGTGGACGGGAAAAAAATGAGTATTATTCATCCAAACTCGCTCTTTTTAAATCGGGAACAAACTATAAATATTGAACGATGGACGTATATAGAAATACATATATACACCCATACAGAATTAAAGACAGAGATAGACTAAACTCATCCCTGCCCCCGTCCCATTAAATTCACAATATATTAAGTGATACATACATTTGTTCTGCATATTATTTTTGTGAGTTTTTATTATTCTTACAAATTCATTTATAAAGTTTTATAATTTTTTTTTAATTTTTTAGGAAAGGACGGTGATTGGGACAGAGATCAAAATTCACTCACAAGGCGAAGACAAGGATCAAATTTCCCCACTAACGGAGTGAACGAATGTTTTTGAAGCAAGTATCGAAGTGGAGACTACTCTCTCAACCTCTCGTCCCCTCTCTAGCTCCGATCCACTGTTATCCCTACATATAATAGAAAAAATTATTAAGATTTGTTTGGATGTAGTATTAAAAAAAAATTACAAGGCAATTCTAGATAGATGGATAAAATCTAGGAGAATTATACTTAGATCTTCTGAAGTTTGTCACTTAATCACTCAGATCTCCTAATATTTGAAATATTACACACATGCCTCATGAGGTTTGTACGTGCGTAACACTTAGACCTTTGTCATCAATGTTCGTTAGTATATCTGTTAGTAAATTACATTCAGATCTCCTAAAGTTGATAGACGTGTAATACTTATACCTCTCAAATTTAAAATATTATATTTAGACAAAAAATACTCCAATTAAAAATAGAATATCAAATATTTTAATTTTACAATTAAAATTCATGTTCTCTTATAACATTTATTAAAATAAAATTAAAAATAAAAATCTATTTTTTTCTTAAAAAATCATATTTAGTGTACAATTATAATATCTATTAGAATTTAATTTGGTCGTCTAAATGACCAAATTAAACTATCAAATTACCTCAATGAAAATTAGAATATATTATGTTCATTACAGTTTGACCATTTATTTGATTTTTTAATTTTATTCCATTAGATAGTATAATTGTATACTAATTATAATTTTTAAGAAAAATGGACTTTTTATTTTTGATTTTATTTCAATAAATAATACAATAGAACATAAAATTTTTATTTTAAAATTAAAAATATTTGATATTTTATTTTTAATTATAATAATTTTAATTTAAATATAATATTTTAAACTTGAAAAATTTAAATATTAACCGCAAATAGTTTTGAAGTGCTGCGGCTTATGGGATAAGGTTGTAGTATAGACACTGTCGAAAAGGATAAGTTTCCAAGCACTTATATAAACTTGGTGCCAATCACATCAACTTGACTAACTACCTTCCGGCAACAAAGTTGCTTGGAAGGACGTGATCTAATTCTTGAGCTAGACAAAATAATTATAAAAGTTATCAATATAAATATAAAAATTATAAATAAATAAAAATTAATTATAACCCATTTAGATCAAACAATATCACAATTTCTATAAAAATTAATAGTTAAAGTACGTAAATAAGATTCAACATAATATATTGAGAACACGAGAATAAGCAGTCCTATGCCACAATAATTCTTTGTAAGTTTGATAATAAGTTTTGTCGTGTCAATTTTTTTTAATGTATTCTTGATCTATTTTTTAATTGTGTATAATTTGAATTCACACGGTGATAAGCTTTGGTTAGCTGGTTCTACTGTTTTGTTTTGAGTTCATATGAAGGTATAAAATTTAATAGATCTAATAAACCTACATATATATATCATTAAACTTGCTAAAAAAATTAAATTTAAACCCATTAATTTTATACAAAATTCGTGTTGTATTTATAAATCATCTGCCTCTAGAATTCACACTCAGCACTTCCCATACAAAGACCTTTGTTGCCTTAACTTTTTGGGAAACTCTAACGTACCCATTTTTTTTTTTTTTTGTTATCAGTATCATCGATTATCACTTTTTATAAGAAAATTATAATTTTAAAAAGAGAAGTTATAACGATCATGAAATCTTAGTATTGATCATAACTTTTTATGATCGATCATGCCGTTGAAAGTTGTAGTTTACATCTCAAAAAAATTATAATTTTACATTCAAAAATTATTAATTTTGATACTAGCACCGTCACGTTACTGTATCATTTTCGTAACTTTTTAGTCCATAAAGAAATGAC